GAGTTTGCTCAGTTTCATGGTCATTGCTTCAGTGATGCTATCTAACCATCTCATCCTCTGCCGTCCTCTTCTTTTGCCTTCAATCTTTCCCAGCATCAGGGTCTTTTCCAAAGACTCCTCTCTTCGCAGTAACATATATTATGTCTAGTTTATTTCAAAGTCATTAATTTGCAATTGTTTTACACTGGGGTGAAAATCTTTTTTTCCAATTTTCTTGGGAAAATTTAGTTGGGGCTGCAAGCAGCAGCAGATTGAGCCAAAATAAAGCTGATGGAGTCTATAGCATGTATACATTTTTCTCTCCCTGACATGTAATTCTCTCTCTCTTTTGCATGTTTAGACATGTATATACAGGTAGTCCTTGGTTATGACAGCGATTGGGACTGGAATTGCTGTCACTAAGTGACATGTTTGTAAAGCATGATATCACATGACTGCGCTGCTTAGCAATGGCAGTTCCAGCAACCCCAGTTGCTGTTGTTAAGTGAGGACTACACAGGACATTAAGTGAGGATTTCACATGACCACAACTTCTAACTTCCTGCTGGCTTCCCTGTTGACTTGCTTGTGGGAAGCCAGCAGGGAACATCAAAAATAGTGATCATTTGACTGTGGGGATGCTGTGAGGACCAGAACTCTGAGGACAGGTTGTAACTACCACTTGTTCAGTGCTGTGAATGGTTGCTGAACGAGTGGTCATTAACCGAGGACTATCTGTACTCATAAATAAAGCAGAAGAGAAAGCAACTTCCAGAGAGCAAGAATAGGTTAGGGCTATAAAATCTTGAGTGCTAGGATCTACATAAAATTATCCTAGGAGCTGTTGATTCCTCATTTTGGTTCTAAATTACTGTAAGCAGCCTTTTAATATATGAAATAGGCCCAGATTCATTATCTGAATAATTTTTGTCCTCATACTTCATCCCTTCAGGTTTTCCTGTGGGACTGAAAAGATTGCTTGAAGATAACACTATTAAAAAAGCTGGGGTTGGTATCGAAGGGGATAAATGGAAGCTGATGCGGGATTTTGAAATCAAACTGGAGAATCTTGTGGACTTGGCTGATCTTGCCAATGAAAAGGTAATAAACTCTCTGAATATTGGGAAGAAACACAAAAAGTCGGTTATGCAAGGGAGCAAATGTTTGTTGAACATAGAGAAATACATTGTAAAACAATAGCAATATAAGAGAAAAGGGAACTAAATATCCCGTAGTAAGATTTCTTGGATCTCTGTTTTTACTGTGGCACACAGCATTCATTATTTTTCAAATTGATTATTGGACTTATTTTCTTGTTCCGTAATATGTTCTATGATTTTTGAATGGTCAGATAATTTGAATTTTTAGCAAGTACTGTATCTTAGTACCAATCAGCCCTGATTGTCTTATTACTGAAAGTGCTTGCTGATAAAAAATTTCATAGATAACATATGAATGCTTTACTGGGAAAATGTCCCACCAAGTTTAATGGCCATTACCTCAAAAAAGATGTAGATAGATTAGGCTCTTAACATGATTTTTTTAAAAAGTTACACTTGTACATTATAGAACTTAGGGTTGTGTCAGATATCGGTGGGCTGTTGCCTGGTGCTGCTAATGGTTTTCTTGGTACCAACCTTGTTATGGACACTTATTGTAACCAATTAGCAGAATAAAGCTTTGTTTAAACATGGCTTAAAGACTTGTGCGGCTTGAATGTAGACTTAAATTTATCAATAAAATGGTCTTATTTTGATTTGTATCATTTTTATTAAAAATGGGTCAGTATAAATGTATTACTGATTATGTTCCAGAAGTAATTTATGCTTTATTGTTGCAATCTCATTTTAGCTAAAATGTAAGGAGATATGGAGTTTAAATGGCCTTGTCAAACACCTGTTCCACAAACAGCTTGTGAAAGACCGCTTGGTCCGCTGTAGTAACTGGGAATGCTTTCCATTAACTGAGGAGCAAAAGCTGTACGCTGCTACAGATGCATATGTATGTACAAAGAAGCTTGTATTTTTCTAGGTTATACAAAATTTGAAAACCTGCTTTGGCCTACTTAGCTGATTACATCTCAGTTTTATAAACCAAGATATGGAAAAGGTCTCAGACTGTTTACTTAGTTTTCCATGTTTATTATGCAAATAATTCCAGAATTTGTCAGAACCGGTAAAGTATAGTTACCAAGATCAGAAAAATCTGGGGTCTTAAACTAATATTAAGTAAATGGTTTAAGGCCCAAGCTTGCTGTGATACTCTTATTCTGGGTCAGATAAAATAGAAACTGGTTAACTAAGAGTTTGAGGTTTAATTGTGACGCATGAAAGAAGGTAGAGACTATGGATATGGGCAGATGGCTAATTCAGTTTCTGTTCATTAAGACAAAATGCCATTGTCCAAATGAGATTGCTATGTCTTAATGCTGCTAGAAAGATTGAATTGTGATTAAAAAGAGCAAGAGTCTCTCCTCTCTTTTATAAGCCCATATTCCAGAACTCCATACCTCACTGTAAAAGAAGAATACAGTGGATATTCTAACGCTTTGTTTGTTCAAACTAATTTGTGTTTGAGGGTCAGACTCTTTCCCTGTACTGAATGGGGTGGAAGGTCAATAATAAAATCTATAGTTTATATTGTAAATGTATGTTTCATTTGGCTAAATTGGACATGGCACTTACGCATACAGTTTTAAGATACCAGCATTAGATGCTCCAAAGCCTTACTGTTTCTGCCTCACTGAGAATAAGGAAAACTTATAGGATGAGATGAAAGCAAACAAGCTGAAAAAGCTGGTGACATACAGGCAGAATGAGCGCACACAGTGTGTCCAAATAATATTTAAGAAATGCTACATTTCAGGGTCCTTAGATGGAATGAAAGATATGTTTGACTTCAGAAAAGAAGCTGAGAATATTTAATATAGTTAAAGTGAAGTAACTGGTGAGGAGAGTGAATCATCAATGAGGGAACTGATGAAGCAGTGTAGAGTGTAAAAACTAGAAGGCAATTGATCTATTAAAGCAAAAGGGGAGATAAAGACTGATAAGTAATTAGTGAATTTTTTTATCATATATATATGGTAAATATATATAGTGTACACACACAGTATATATATAATTATAATAGTAAAATCTAATATAAACTAAACTTAAAGAAAAGAATAGAAAGCAGAAGTAAAAAGTGCAAGAAAAAGAGAGGCGAGAAAAATAAGAATATAATAAAGAGAGAAGTTCCAACCTTCATCACAAGTATAAACAAATTTAGTGACTCTTCACCCCCTCTAAGGTTACAAACAGTTACTTTTCATCCCATATCTCATCTCTTATCCACAAACAAATCCATAAAACAGCATCTTTTCTATCCTGGTGTCAGCAGAAAGTCTGTAAAGGGTTGCCAGAAGAAATAACATATCTTGTTTTAATCTTGATTAAATAAACCAACTTCATATTCCTTCCTTTTACTTCTAATAGTCTTAATCTTTAGTTCATTCAAATATTGTCGTAGG